AGGAAGGAAGGAAGGAAGGAAGGAAGGAAGGAAGGAAGGAAGGAAGGAAGGAAGGAAGGAAGGAAGGAAGGAAGGAGAAACATAGGAACGAGGAAGGAGGGAGGGAAGGAGATGGGAATGGAAGGAAGGAAATGGGAATTGAAGGAGGGAGGGAAGGAAGGAAGGAAAGAATGGAGAATGAGGAAAAAAGGAAGGATTGATTCACCACCTCTGCCAGGGAACTGGATGAAAAACACCCAGTAGATCGTTGGAGATGCTGAAGGGCCAGAATGGCCACCCTTGAGAAGCTGACAAGAACAGTCCAAAGAGGTGATGGGCCTGTCTTCAGCTTGTGGCTCTTGTAAGAAGAAATGCTTCCCTGCCATGTGAAAGTTTTATTTAGCACTTGGGGCTGAAAAATCGGTCTCTGTGTTTTAGTCTCAGCCCTTGAGACTTCCGTCTTTCAGACTCACTTTCCTCACAGGATTATGGCAAAGACTAAAAAAAAACAGTGTGCGGAAATGTATTTGCGTGCCTCCTGACTCCTTTAACGACAGAGCATCTGAGCATGTGAAGCCCACGGTCTCCTTCACCGCCCCCTCTCCAGGACCCTCACCTTATTTCTGCCGATCCAACGTTGAGGTTGCTTGAGGAAATCCAGCGGGTCCGGATGGCGGACCCTGAGATGTTTTTCTTCATGATGGTCTCCGAGGGGCCGCAACGGACCAGCCACTTCTCCTCTTCCCACAGCCCCTCACCGCTGTTGTCCGAAGGCACCGTTTGCAAGATCACAGAAGAGGCGTTTTCTGCACCAGAGATCGATACTGCCAAGGAAAGGAGGAAGCAGAAGGAGTTTTTATTTGGGGAAAGAAATGCCTTGAGTTGGAGATGAGGTGCCGGAGGAAAATTCCAGGCGGCCTAAGGAATCCAACCTGTCCTTAGATCTCCAGCATTCCGCTGTGGGCTACCTCTGACTCACGAGGTGGGGCTCAGCCCAGGTTGCGTTTCGACCGAGCGTGGCTGGCATTAAAGGGCGAGTTGTGAAATGGGGGAAACACCCATGAGAACCAAGAACAGGCCGAGCGTTTCGTAGCTGGCCTCAGTGTTCAGTTCTGCAATAGGGGCATAAGCCAGCCAACCTGCCTCAGCGCTCTTTGGGAACCTCCTTCTCCTTACTATCCCAATCTTCCAGCTCTCTTCTGAGGGAGAAGAAGGGTGCTTTGGAATGGATCTAGCAACGTACACTTGTCCTCTCCAATAGCTAACCATTTTTTTTTTTGCCCTGGAAAAGCCTAGACATTTTTCTAGACCAGGAGCTGTTCTTCTATAATTCCAGACAACCTGCCACGCTGTAATTTCTCCTTTTACAGATCGTACAATGAATTCTGCAGTTGCTGGAAAGCCCTTGCCTATCCCCCCGCCAGGTTAACGTTCCTGACCGTGAGAAAAATCAACCCAGTTGCCTTCAGAAATCCTGGATACTCCCTCACTGGAGGCTTTTAAGAAGAAACCGGACAGCCATTTGTCCGGCGTGGTTGAGCAGGGGGTTGGACCAGAAGACCTCTGGGATCTCCTTCCCCTCTGCTCCCCGAGGCACTGCAAGCCTCAAACGCCACTCGGGGCAGGCTAAATTCTGGAAAGGTTCTTCTTCTTTTTTAAAAAATAAAAATATTGGAATGATTCTTCTAGGAATTCTCTGAAGAGCCGCTGGAGAAGAAGGAAGGAAATGGGAATTGAAGGAAGGAAGGGAGAGAGGGAGGGTGGAAGGGAGGAAGGAAAACAGCATAATAGAATCACAGAGTTTGAAGGGACCCCAGACCATTCCAGACAAATAGGTGTCCAATCTCTTCTTTAAAAGCTCTGGTAGGTAGGAAGGTAGGTAGGTAGGTAGGTAGGAAGGAAGGAAGGAAGGAAGGAAGGAAGGAAGGAAGGAAGGAAGGAAGGAAGGAAGGAAGGAAGGAAGGAAGGAAAGAAGGAAGGAAGGAAGGAAGATAGCAGTAGACTTATATACTGCTTCACAGTACTGTCTAAGCAGGAAGGAAGGAAGGGAGGATTCACCACTCACACCCCGGAATATGATGAAAAACATCCAGTCGATCACCTGAGATACTGAATCGTAAGGCGGATACTGAGAGGAAGAGCTGAAATAACGGCGAGAGAACTTTACGTGCCAAAGGACGAAAGGCAAGGCAGGATAGAGAGGCCGCAGATGTGAAATAGGCACATACCTGTATAGACGTTATTGGGCGTATAATCGCGGGGCTCCACGTCCAGCCGGAAGGAGCCCCGTGGCACCGTCTTCCGGACCACCTCGCAGGGGGGCTGTTGGCAGAAAGCCGGCCAAACCAGCAGAGCCCCCAGCAAGAAGAGGGGCGTGGTGAGCTTGAGCCAAGCCATCTTTTCCAAGTCTTCTCCTTCCTTCTCTTCTGGCCTCCTCTTCCTCTTCTTCCTCCTCTGCTCCTCCGTAGGCTTCCCCTGGTCTGCCCTGGAAAACTTTGGCAGGCGGGCCATCAGCCAAGCTCTTATATACTCTGTAGGTTGCACATTCCTTCCCTCTCACACCCTCCCCGGTGGGAGGTTTCCGATGGTGACACATTGGGGTGCTTTACCTGCCCGGGTTGTTGCTGAACGAAACTCACCTGACCTAGGAGAGCGTGGGGAGCCCTCTCCCCCTGGGGGGTGGGGGTGGGGGGGGAAGGGGAGGGGGCAAGTAATGACGGCTGAGATTGCCTCCCGGGCGTGGCCTTTGGAAGGGAGAAGAGCAGCTTCCTCAGCTTGTCCTCCCAAGCAACCCAGCTGGTTTTTTTCCCCCCCACCAAGAGTTTCTATTTTGGTTTCTGTATCTGGGTCTGCATCTCCAGAGTGGAAAGATCTCCAGATGGATGGGGAAATCCAGCCCCGTTTTTCTTGCCTCCTCCCAGGGGAAGGGAGAATATTTGCCAAGGAACATAGCCAGGGGGGTCTTCCAGGAGTCTGGAGGAATTCCATAGAAGCAGCTCTTCTTTCCCCCACAATTTACACATTTTTATTCTTTGCTAGCCACAGGCAAAGTTTACTGCAGGGGTCCCCAAACTTGACAACTTTAAGACTGGTGGACTTCAACTCCCAGAATTCTCCAGCCAGCTGTGCTGGCTGGAGAATTCTGGGAGTTGAAATCCACCAGTCTTAAAGTTGCCAAGTTTGGAGACCTTTGGTTTACTCCCTTGGGGGCTTCTAGCCTCACCCGTCCCGAAAGCGAAATGCAAAGTTGAGATTCCATCGTGAAAAAGGCTTACCTTTTGGGCATGCTAAACACACACATATCATCATCATCATTAGGGGAATTAAAAAAAAGTCTCATGCCTGATAAGGATCCTTAAAGGCTCGCATTCCTTAAAATCAGGCAATTCCGATAGAACAATCTCCTTCGGGGTTAAAAAGCCAACCAGGGAAGACAATGGAACAAGTGTGTCACTACGCAAGAAGTTATTTGCACTGCAAATTCCCTTTGCTTGCAAGCCTTCGGCCTTCGGGAAGGGGAACGACTCGGCCTGCCCCAATTCTCCTTTCATGCCTGGGAGGTTCAGGCCGCTTTTGATTGCTTTTCCAGGCCAGTTGCTCTCCAGCTCCTATCAAGCCCAACACGGGTGCTGTAGTCCCCCCTGCCAAAAAATCTGGACGTCAAGGTTGCAGGAGATTGGATCGGTCCAGGGTGCTGCAATGAAGCCAAGTTGGTTGGACCGGGCTGATGTTCAAACGTTGCGGTGCCTTTCGGAAATAATCTTAGTGACTGGAAGTGCTTTATGGAGTTGTTGTTGAAAAGAGAAATAAATAACTTGGGATTTGTGGGTCTGATGGTTAGCATAGCGGGAGAAGGGATGAGAGAGAGAGAGAGAGAGAGAGAGAGGCAGGCATTTATAACTGGTGTAAAGAAAACTGAACCATCCTGACTTTCCTCCCTCCCATTTTTTTCCTTCCTTCCTTCCTTCCTTCCTTCCTTCCTTCCTTCCTTCCTTCCTTCCTTCCTTCCTTCCTTCCCTCCCTCCCTCCCTCCCCCCTCCCTTCCCTTCCCTTCCCTTTCTTTCCTCCCTCCCTCATTTCATTTCATTTCAAATCTGTAAAAAATGTCTTTTAACATTTTTTTTTCACAGTAAAGGAAAGCCCCTTCGCCTATCATTGATACTTTGACCCATTCGGTCTGGGCATTTGGATGCAGTCACCTACGAATAAAAGGCCGTCCTTTTCAAGAAGGAAATCTTACTTCAGTCCAACCTTCAATGTAAAGAGATGTTGTCAGAGGCTTTCAGGGGTATGTGAAGCCTCGGGGCATTTTCCAAAATTAAAACAGCAAAGAAGCACTCCGTTCCTTCGTCCGGTCTCAAGTCTCTTAAAATTTGCAAGCAGAAAAGTGTCCCTGCGAGGGGAGGGAAAAGAAACCCTTTTAAGACCCCACCAAGAGGGAGGACATTTCTTGCACCTGTGAGAGAAACGGATCCCTTATCCTTCCATACAAACTCACCAGAATTCATTTTCTGAGTTGAAATCCTTCTGCCTTCCGGCTGGCCTCTGTTTATAGACGAGATTTGTCTGCTGCCTGACATCTAACAGGGTTTGGGGTGGCTTGCAGAAATTAATTACGCAGTAAAATGCAGGAAAAAAACAAAAGTCATATCATAATTCATGAAAATCGTGAAATCCAAAATCCATTTCCCCAAATGAGGCAGTACTACAAATGAGCTGAAATTTATAATGACTTCTCCCCTCCCCCACAATAATGACAGCAGATATCGGAGTAATCAGGAGTTCTATTTTTTTTTTTTAAAAAAAGAATGTTTTAAGTGTGGAGTGTTAGGTTTTTCTGTGCTTGTTTTAGGATTGTAAGGTTCCTTCCACCCGGAGGGATGATAAAATATATTCTCTGCCAAAGAAATTCAACTTCCACATTAGCTCATCTCTCTCTCTCTCTCTCTCTCTCTCCCTCCCTCCCTCCCTCTCCCTCATTTTCTTCCCCTCTGCACTGCGCTTGTGTAATATATATATATATATAATCTCATATATATCACAGTTTATGAATATTCCGTATTTTCTAGAGAGGAAAACTGGAACTGGCTTGAAATTTCCATGACATCACCGCAGTTTACATGTGGGCTGGATGAATGCCAGGTGTCAGCCGTACAATCAATGATCAGCTACGTGTTGGAACCTGCCCTTAAAACCAGGTTTGGGCTTTGATGGATGCAAAAGATAAAAGCCCAAATATGGCGGCAGACTTTTGGATCTGTGGGCCGCTGGATTGGCAGGAAGCAACTCCCGGGACTCGTAGAGTAGCCATGACTTCCTCCCAGGTGTAAATTTAATCCCCTTCTGGCTGTCCCTTGAGGTGGGCCATTGATATTTGCGCTCTCTCCAGTCCGTTTCTGCAATCTGCCAAAAGCCCGTTCATGACACACCGCTGAGACTCTGCTCTGTGCCATGACAACCAAGCCTGGAGGTGGATTGCGGCATCTCAGGTGAGTCAAGGGTCGAAGAAGACTCCTTGCCTTCTCCCGGTGGAAACCCTGTTGCTTCAACATTCCTGCTCTTGAGTAGGCAGAGATTTGACTTCCTGTGCTTATGTGGGCCTGAGTTTGTTTTTTTCCACTGAAGCGGATCCAGACAACGGCCAGCCCAGGAGGCTTCATGGAGGGAAGGTCTTGAGATCCAAGGGGGAGGTAAATTGATAGTCCCACCTGCTCCAGGAGAGAACAAAGCACCAACTCTCTTGTTTTCATCGATCTGCTTGTTCCCGCCAGGCTGCTAGAAGAAACCCGGGGTAAGCTATAGGTCGGAGAAGAAGCGGTAGACCTGCACACGTTTGATTTCCTTCACTTCTGTGCGACTTCCGTTGGGCCGTGTCTTGGCTAGCTAGTCCAGGGGATAACTACTTATTTATTTATTTGTAAAAGGTATGGGTTTCCCATCTTACCACAAGACAACTTATCAGCTATTTGAACAGAACAAAATAAGAAAAACCAGTCTTCAAAGAAAAACCAGAAGGTCCAGTTTGCCTCGCAGGAAAAACAAAAAAACAAAAACACTTTTGGGACAACAGAAGAAGAGAATATCGGAGTTGGAAGGGACCTTAGACAGAGGTGGCATTCAGCAGGTTCTGACCAGTTCCGGAGAACCAGTAGTAGAAATTTTGAGTAGTTCAGACAACCAGTAGCAGAAATATTGAGTAGTTTGGAATACCACTTCTGACTGGCCCCACCAACTCCATCTATTCTCTGCCTCCCGAGTCCCAGCTGATTGGCTGGGTCTTCTTTTGTTGCCCTGTACAGGAGAACGGAGCTGGAAAGCAGGTTAGCGGGGTGAGGAGAGAATGGGGAGTATCCTTCCCACGCCACGCCCACCAAGCCACATCCACAGAGCCGGTAGTTCTTTGAATTCCACCACTGGCTTTAGAGATCTTCTAATCCAACGCTCTGCTCAAGCAGGAAACCCTGTGCTATTTCAGACAGCTGGTTGTTTAATCTCTTCTTAAAAACCTCCACTGATGGGGCGCCCACAACTTCTGGAAGCAAGCAGTTCCGCTGGTTAATTGTTCTGACTAATTCCTCCTTAGTTCTAGGTTGCTTCTCTCCCTGATTAGCGTCCATCCGTTGTTTCTTGTCCTGCCCTCTGGTGCTTTGGAGAATAGCTTGACCTCTTCTTCTTTGTAGTGACCTCTTACCAAGATGCCAATCTGATGGTTTTTTCCCCCAACCTTGTTCTTTTAGTATTTGGACAAAATAAGAGCAGTAGAACAGGAGGAAGTGGAAGTAGAAACCCACGGATCGTTACGGGCCTTTAACTTGGCATTTTCCATATCTGTTATAATTTCATCCTGCCTCCAGACCATGCAGACTTGGGTGGGAGTGTCTAGACCGACAAGATGAGTCCAAGTGGCTAATCAACCAGTAACACAACCTGACATAAATTCCTTGGGTTTTAAGACATAAGACATAAGAATTTATTTGTCATTACACTCGCAAGCGGGTGCAACGAAATGAGGTGCTCTTCCACAAGTAAAGCTGGACAACACCATTGAAAGAAAAATAAAACTAAACACAACAGACCATACAATAATCTCTATACAGTTTAAAAATGTAAATACCCCATTACTCTCAGCCATTAAATTCCACAAAAATCTTATGACCCTGCATTCAAACTCAAAACTGCACTTGGATAAAAACTGTTCTTAAATCTAGTCGTCCTTGTTCTTAATACCCTGAATCTCCTTCTCGATGGTAATAGTTCAAAGAGCTGAGACAGAACTTGTGTTAAACGCCGCCTGCAATTGCATTGGATGTAAAGACACAATATAGTAGGGATATGTGGATGGACATCGCCTGAGCACAGAATATCTGGGAATGTCGTATCTCCTATTGCCAATGAAAGGAAGAGCGATGCCTGTTTTGGCAGAGAAGGAAATCATCCATTCATCATACTTCCTTGAGAGCCACCCTTCATTCCAAGATCAGCCGCTCAGAGCTGTTCTCCTCTTCCTTCATAGTCC